ATGGGTGTTAGGGCTTGGCTGTTTAATTGATTGGGGTGTTAGGGTGGGTGGAGGGGGTTGGCTGTTTAATTGATTAAGGTGTATATGGGTGTTAGGGTGGGGTGAGGGTGGAGGGGGTTGGCTGTTTATTTGATTGGGGTGTAGATGGGTGTTAGGGTGGGGTGGGGGTGGAGGGGGTTGGCTGTTTAATTGATTGGGTATAGATGGGTGTTAGGATGGTGTGAGGGTGGAGGGGGCTGGCTGTTTAATTGATTGGGTATAGATGGGTGTTAGGATGGTGTGAGGGTGGAGGGGGCTGGCTGTTTAATTGATTGGGTGTAGATGGGTGTTAGGGATTGGCTGTTTAATTGATTGGGGTGTTAGGGTTGGGGGTGGGGGCTTGGCTGTTTAATTGATAGAGGTTTAGATGGGTATTAGGGTGGGGGTTGGGGGGTGGTGAACCAACTATCTTATGGTGATTGTTGGCTGAATATTTGATTGAGGGTTGTTTGTAGGTGTGAGATTGGTGCTGGTGATTGGTTGTTTGACTGAATGGGGTGGGTGGAGGTGGGTGGTGGTGATTGGTTGTTTGAATGGGGTGGGTGGAGGTGGGTGGTGCTGCTTGGTTGTTTGACTGAACGGGGTGGAGGTGGGTGTTCTTGGTAGTCGGCTATCATGTAAACAAACAATTAAAACATACATCACTGTCTATAGGTTTAGGACCACATACAGGTTGTAATGTTTACAAAAATGGTCTATTAATAGCCGAAGCTGAATACGCATGTCAGGGTCATGGGTCAAATAATTGTAAAGATCTTTCAGAATTTTAAACAAAAATAAAACTAAGGCAGCATGCTTTTAGTTATTTTTAAGACACTCATAGTCATAGATCTATCTTCTGAGACTTTAATTTTCAATCAGTTTATATAAAAATAGGCAACAATATATGAATCGTGACCTAGTTTGTGGCGTTAACATAACTGTCACAGACTGTATAATTAGGTATGTTTATTATATTGTGTTTTGCATGAATGAAGAGTACCTGGCTAGCGGAAGGACTGTCTGAGCGATCGTCATGTGTATTTCCCATGCTTTTGGGTGAGATCGCTCATTGACGTAAGGGGAGAGAAAGTGGTGAATAAAAGGGAGAGAAAAAGGTGAACGGGGGTTGTGTGCTAGGACTGAGGACTGGAACGATGGCAGTGAGTGTAAGATGTCTCCATGACTTGGAGTCGTGATTATTATTTGTACCTATATCAGTTGATCTTCAAATATGGATGTACCACGGATTTATCTGTACATAGTGTAAATAAAGTTGTCATTTGAAGTTGCCACTGTTGCTCGTGTTCCTGTATGAAAGCTAACCCACAACAACAAAGAATACATGTTGTTACATATGGTGTCAGAAGTGAGCGTCTACTGTTACATTGTCAGAAGCAATTGAAGAAGTGATGTTGTTACATTGGTAAATTATATTGAAGTCTAAAATCGTCAACGAAGTTACAGTGTTACTACAAGTGATCAAGAATTGTCACATTATCATTGTAAGCAGTTTTCAACGTTTTTGAAGTGGTCTTCCACTGTTTCCACTTGAAAGTCATCTATCTACACTCAAGTCAGAAGGGTTGCTGTAGTCAAGTCAGACGTTTTGTTCAAGTCAAGTCATCAACGTGATAATTTTTATCACCTTATTTCGATATTGTCTCACCAATGTCGAGTAAATATCGTCTGTGTGTTTTTTCTGTTTGGATTTAGCCGATCAAGTCTTAGTGTTTCTTTTCTACTGTTTGGATTTAGCTGTTCAAGTTTTCTATATGGATTAGCTGTTCAAGTTTTTCTGCTGTTTGGATTTAGCAGATCAAGTTTATTTTTGTAACTGTTCCTAAAGATGTCTTATCTAAAACTGGACAAATTTCTACTCTGTAACAGGCTACTAGAACTATTTTGAATTTTTTTCAACTTTTTGGAATCAACAAAGTGAACTATTTTTGTACTATATATGTACTATGAACTTTTCTTGGATTACTAGATGTCTGTAATCAACTGAACAAAGCCAGAATACAAGAAAGGGTATTGTAAATTAATTAACATTTATCTATTGTCAACTAATGAATTTATATTTTATGTCATAAATAGAAAATATATCAAAATGTTATGTTTTGAAGAATATCTAGCACTAGCGAGGGCGCAAGGCATTAAGAAGATGAAGAAGCAGATAGCCTGGGCAAACACTCGATTTGACCGAGACATAGAAAAAGCATTAGAAGCATGGGACGAAGAAAATGAACAACCCAGACTAGCTCATGGAAAAGTAATAAGAGAATTAGATGGTGAGACAGAAATAGTGCGTAATAGATCAAGAGCTATTACAGAGGTGCAAAAAGAAGAAGAAATGTCAGATGGAGATAAAGTAGAGGAGACTGTACAATCAAAAGGAAAGCGGAAAAAAAGAAACAGAAAACAGAGAGCAGATAAAAGGGCTGAAACTTTGGAAAAACAAGTAGGCCTACATGAACTAGCATATGAACAAGAACTATTAGAAATGAAAGCTATAACAGACACAAATGAACCAAAATTAGAAAGTGAACAGACAGAATTTAAAGCAGAACTTGAAGAAGTAAATATTAGCAACCTTAAGAATGAAGAACAAAGTAACATAGTCCAGGAAGAATTGAAACCAAAGAAAAAAACAGAGGGTGAACTTAATAATGATTTTTTGGAGACAGATACATTGGAATGTCTTAAGATTGACTCTTTTTTGACTCAAACGCAGGTACACGAGAATATTACTGAGAGTTGTATCACAAGTCCATCAGAGAATGGCAGTCAACAAGAAACAAGTCCATCAGAGAATGGTAGTCAAAATGATTTAATAAGCCCATCAGTTAATGGCAGTGATGATTTAATAAGTCCATCGGAGAATGGCAGGAATCATGATAAACTAATGATGATTAATGAATCAGTGAACTTAATAAGCCACAATGAAGAGAACGTACCTATTGAAGATTTACTTCGAAAATTGGAGTCAAACTATAAAGAAGATATACTAGAACTCAAGAATAAATTTAACAAAGAAATGGAGAAATTAACACAGAAATTTATGTGTGAATTAGAATCAATAAAGAAGCACAAGGAAGTTAAGAAAGATGAAACAGTAACTAGAAACTACAATGTCATTGATGCACAGAATGAAAGTAAAAGAAATTTAGCAAACTATGAATACAGTCAACATGTTAATAAGAATGTCATTAATGTCATTAATGCACAGAATGAAAGAAAAAGAAATTTAGCAAACTATGAATACAGTCACCATGTTTATAAGAAGCCAAAATCTAGATGTTTTTACTGCGGAAAAACAGGTCATTACCAAAATCAATGTTGGCATAGGTTGGCAAAACAGAGAAGAAACAATTATGTACAAAGAAAGTCATGTGGGAAATATAGTAATTTAAGAAAGAATATATCATGTTCTAATGAAAGATACCGAAGCAAGATGTATTATGAAAGGCCAAAGCAATGCCATAATATTTATATTGAGTTGGTTGATGAACCAAACCAACATACACAAAGCAAGATAACCACTGACGTTGTTCAGAAACCAGAGGAGAATATTAAAACAAATGAAGTAACACAAGTTACACGAAATCTAGGAAATGATTATGGTAGCAAAGCTGAAAGCTACAATTTGAGGGAGAGATGGCATACGGGTCATCGTCAACTGCACGAGAACGATTACTCATGCTATAGAGGATGCTAAGATTAAATTATCAATTGACAGTTTATTAATATTATACAGTCTGTAACTGTAATATATAAATATCAAACAATTTGTATCAGTAAATATAAATTATATAAATTGTGTAATATTTCAAAAGAAAGAAAACTGTATTATGTTAAACCTATTCTATACTATTAATTAACAGTGAATAAAGTAAATCAAGTAAAAGTTAGAGACTATTTATTCCGCATAACAATAAGACGGAAGTCTCAATGATGAATTGTATCAGTCGATACCTGTGAAAGGCAAGAATGTTGTGTTGTGACCTAGATGTGACTGAAATGGGTCGACTAGGGGAGACAACAAAGTATATTACTCATGCGTGGTAATAATATACCTTGATGATAAGGAAGTTTTTTACTACATAGGATATAGTTATTTAAATTATGAGTTGAATTAAGTCTCTGATAATTTCAACTATGTATTATGTTTGGTAATAAGGTCATGTACCAGACTCGTCTGGTAATTTATTAAACTCATTTGTTTTGTTTATACTACAGTTACTGGGTAATTGAAATGTTTTTTTTCTCCTATGTGAATGTATATTGATGCATTAAATATTACATATAATGCTTGTACATTTAAAGTTTTTGTTCAAAACACTGACATATTTTAATTATCACTGATATAGTCACTATATACTGTTGTATTTGTATGCACTATAAATTTATGACTACAAGTGCTTAGTCTAAAATGAATATATTTTACTCTACTTTGAGTTGTACACAGTTTTTTGTTGTCTGGCACATGATCCTGCCCTACCAATATTGTATTTATAAATTTTGTTACACAAAATTTGATTTGAAGGGGGGACGTGTCACAGACTGTATAATTAGGTATGTTTATTATATTGTGTTTTGCATGAATGAAGAGTACCTGGCTAGCGGAAGGACTGTCTGAGCGATCGTCATGTGTATTTCCCATGCTTTTGGGTGAGATCGCTCATTGACGTAAGGGGAGAGAAAGTGGTGAATAAAAGGGAGAGAAAAAGGTGAACGGGGGTTGTGTGCTAGGACTGAGGACTGGAACGATGGCAGTGAGTGTAAGATGTCTCCATGACTTGGAGTCGTGATTATTATTTGTACCTATATCAGTTGATCTTCAAATATGGATGTACCACGGATTTATCTGTACATAGTGTAAATAAAGTTGTCATTTGAAGTTGCCACTGTTGCTCGTGTTCCTGTATGAAAGCTAACCCACAACAACAAAGAATACATGTTGTTACAATAACTATATTTACCTGATATAGACTCCAAGGGAAACAACTTATCCTTTAGAAAGATAATAACTTTTTCACTCCGTTTATTATATCTCACTTCTAATACACTTTTTATTTTACTCATAAAATACAACAGAAATAAAACTTTATATTATTATATTTGTTCTGCTAAGATAAATAAAATATGAATATTTTTTGTCCACATTCAAACGTTCTTGCCCAGGCCCTCACTTTATCGAAAAAGAAATAACTATTAAATAATGAATCTATAAAAAGCTAGACCTAGAACGTGAATAAATACCTGGGTCGCTGCAGAAAAAAAGTGCTGTTTTCTTGTTTCTATTCGCGTCGTCGTCAAATGCAGTTTTTTTTTTATCTTGAAAGGGGGGGGGGGGGGGGGGTCGTAGTTCGCCGGCGGGCAAGTCGCCGTAAAGACAAGGGGATTAGAGGAGATACTGGTAATGTAAACATCCGATTGTCTTTTTGTAGCCAGCATAATCCCACGCAAGCTATCGTAATGCTGGTTTTAATTTTAGAAATAAATGGAGCATTTTAATTAATGAGGTAGACTACTTGTTGGGTTTTTTTAATTTATAGATGATGATTTCAGAGAGGGTCTTTTTATTTCATTTTACTACAGTTTAAATTCATAGCACAGCTTTACTTAATCCCAGTTAATCCGGCTTAACGTTAAGCAATGTTATAAAAAAGTCACTCGTCCGGTATTTAAAGATTTGAGCTGGCCAAAAGGTAGGCTCGGCTTTAAGGCCACGGACTTGAAGCAGACGATCTTCTGACCTAAATAGCTTACAGTTTGAAAGTTATTCAAATGTACTTTTTGAAGTTTACAGAACGAAGGTTTTTAAGAAGTTTAGGGAGAGATTTATTTGGTAGGCCTGCTGGTTGGTTTGTCTTAGCGTCAACAGGTCACTGCTACAAATATGTCATGTTTGTCATATGTCATGCTGCTCTTGCCCAATGTCATGTTTATCATATGTCATGGTACTCTTGCCCAATGTCATGTTTGTCTTATGTCATGGTACTCTTGCGCAATGTCATGTTTGTCATATGTCATGCTGCTCTTGTCTAATGTCATGTTTATCATATGTCATGGTACTCTTGCCCAATGTCATGTTTGTCATATGCCATGGTACTCTTGCGCAATGTCATGTTTGTCATATGTCCTGGTAATCTTGCCAAATGTCATGTCTGTCTTATGTCATACCAATCTTGCCCAATGTCATATGCTGCTTGTGTCATGTCACTACTACCCACATGTCATATTTGGCTTATGTCATGTCATTCCTACAAAATATCATGTGCTGCATCCATCTGACCAATCTCTGATGTCTAAAGATATTGGGACAGTTTTGTTTACTTTTTCGATCCTCAGATACCAAGTTATGCCACTAAAAAATCCCACAGGAATCTCAACTCAAGATGTCGCCCCCAAATAGCTTTAGTTCGGTTGGTAGCTATCAATACACCACGTGACTTGTCACCCACGTGACTAGCAGTGGCCAAAGATCGTGACGAGAAATTCAACAAGTTCACTGACCTGTGACCCTTGAGCTTCTATTTTTAGGATTTTCCCCTCACATGACTAAGCGATATTTACAATCGCTGGATTTGACGGATTATAGTTTTTATAGAATAGACTGTCATAAATATGTGCGTGGCCTACTAGTTTGGTTGGTAATAAAAATATTTTTTGTTTGGCTATTCACGAATATTGTTCTGAAATAAAAGAAAATTACGCATATTGTACCAAGATGTAAAGGCGTGCACGAATGTTATACCAAACAATGTATTGGCAGTCACGAAGGTTATACCAAAACTGCATTGGCAGTCACCAGTTTCTTCCAAGCATCTCTTCGGGGGGTGGGGGGAGGGGCGAAGAAAGACTACCGCCCTCTTTTCCATCCCCCCCCCCCCCGAACGAAATGGAATTTATATATGTGACGAGCGAACATTTATCCTGCCGACAACGCCAATTGTAACGAGCCAACAGTTACCATGCTCGCAACGCCACATGTAATGAGACCTAATTGCCTGTAGTGCCACGTGTTAACGAGTTTAACCACTCATTCTAGACAACATTGACCACAGTATAGATACTCAAGATGCAGGTTCGCTATTGATCCTTTATTACATGAATCAAGAAATGCTTCATAATAACACAATAAATCAACAGGAATGCTTCTCAATAATAGTCTGAATCAACTGACCCCTAACAGTCCTTCACTAGGCTTTATATAACTGAATCCACATGTCTATAATCCTCCTTAACACAATACGGCTAACCCGTTCTATAACCGACTTGACATAGTCACACAGACTGACTGATCTAAGCGAGCGATGAAGATGGAAGAGAGCTCGCTGAAACGGGAAGAGAGAGAACGAGTCCTGCCGTGCCCTCCTATTTATCCCTTGTATCCGTACTCGTCTCTGTACTTGTATTCCTCCGTAATCGATACTTGTACTCGATCTCCGACCACCAGTTGCGTAGTTCAAACGTACAGACCGTAAAATAACATCTGCGTCCTATCCATCAAAGTTGACAGGCCGTCTGAATACCGTTTCCCAAAATAGCACGCGCCGGCTTTGAGGTTGTTATCAGCCCGACCCAATAAGCCACCTGTTATCGGTTGCATCAGACCAACACTGTGTCTCGGCTTCTCGTTCGTTATCATTTGTAACTGGTAGTTAGGCCTACCCCAGTTACATCCACCCCTGCTTTTTTTGTGTGTTTTCAACCACAAACAACGCCTGGCAGGTGCACTCCTCCAAAGTCAATCGCACAGTCGTAAAAAAAAAATCTATTGTTCTACTCACTGTCCACGACGTTCCATTCGTATACGATTGACAGTTCTACCTATTTCACATATCAACTGTGTCTACATCATCTTCCTGAGACACAAAACAGTTCTAGAATTCACATCCACCCTTTCCATTTGGTGCCTTCACCAGTTCACTTCTATAGCTCTTTGAACAGTCTGTTTTCATACCAGCGCGACCATGAAAGAATTGATGGTTGCTGACAAAAAATTTCGTATTCCTTCTGTTCCTTAAACTTCTCCGCGGACCACTTATCTGATGGTCTACTGTCTCTCTGCTTCTGGAGGGACCGGGATCCTCATTGTTGCCGGTATCCTCCCCTTGCGTATCGCTGTTGTTCTGTTGATGGTGATATGGTTCCGGAATGGGTATGTGAATTTCCGTTATAACTTCCGGTTCCCTAATTGTCTTGGGTTTCTCTGTGTGTAACTGCTCTTCTTGCCTATTCCAATATTTCTTTAATTGAGCAATATTCGCCCACCGATCCGGTTTGGCGTGATCGATGGGTCTTATCTTAAAGGGGCCACCTGCTACTTTAGGCATCTCCACGACTTGCCATATCTCCTGTCCCCAGAGATCGTGGATTTTGTTTCTGCCTAACGGGTGGCTACGCAGTAATACCCTGTCATTCAGTTTGAGTGGCGGGTCCTTCGTCTGTATCGGCGGTTCCCTTCGCCGAGATTCATGTTCTAGTCTTTCCTGTACTACCCTGTACATTTCTCTAATTCTTCTCATATGTTCATTCACATATTCCAGTGCGGTGTATGAGCCAGTCATACTCTCCCTTTTTCCTAGGAACAAATCAAGAGGGAGTCGAGCCTCTCGTCCGAACAGCAACATGTATGGCGAAAAGCCGGTTGTGGCATGTGGTGTGCAGTTGTATAGATATACCAACTCTGGGAGAAAATCAGGCCAACGTTTTTTCTGTTCAGGTTCTAGCGTACGCAGCAAATCATGCATGCTGCGGTTGAACCGTTCACACTGTCCGTTTCCTTTCGGATTAAATGTGGTTGTTCTAGATTTGTTGATCCCGTAGTGGTTGCACAGTTGGTTAATTACTTCTGACTCAAAGGCCCTTCCTTGGTCAGAGTGTAATTGTCTTGGTATGCCATATTTGATGAACCAATGTTGTAATAAGACCTTTGCCACTGTTTTGGCAGTCTGATCTCGTGTGGGCACCGCCACAGTCCATTTGGTGAATACATCAGTCATTACCAACACATGTTCCGTCCCATCCGATGATTGCTCCAACGACGTAAAGTCCATAGCCACAATCTCTAGTGGTTTTGTCGCTAGTAGGTGTCCTGATGGCTGTCTCATTTTGACAACTGGCCTTTTCGCATGCTGACACCTCACACAAGCCTCACAATGGCGTTTGACCTCCATTTCCATATTGGGCCAGTAACACCTCCGTCGTAATATTTTGTGGGTTCTGTCCTGACCCTGGTGTCCTGCCCTGTCATGTGCCAACCTTAGCACTTCTTCTCGTAATTGTCCCGGCACCACCACCTGGTGTATTGTGCCATCAATTTGGTCATGAATTCTCCGCATGAGAACACCATCCTTTATACTGAGACGGTTCCACTGACTCAGTATTTTCTTTGTTTCCCGACCAAATTGTTCTCTTTCCCTTCTTCCTGGGAATTTTTGTTCCTGGACGTATTTCAATAGCGGTTGTAAGCCACTATCCGTTCTCTGGGCATCTCTTATCTTTTTGTGATTAAGGCAATTAAAATCACTACTGTCCATATGTTCGGGTTCCGTGGATATGTGCTCCACCCCGGTCTGCCCGTTTTGCATCACTTGTACCCCATGAGGGATATCTGTTGACGCTCTGACCTCACATATTCCTGTCAGTGTTTCTTCCTCATCACCCGGTCTCTCGTTAGGATTCCTTGATAAGGCGTCCGCATTGCCATTGGACCGCCCCGGGCGATGTTTTCTCTCTAGGTCAACGAGTGCCAATTCTGCTGCCCATCGCTGTTCGATGGATCCCAGCCTTGCTGTAATTTGAAGTTCTTTTTCAATATCTGATAATTTTTCTTCAAGTCTTGTTTGAGACTCTTTCATTCCTTCTAGTTTGCCAACACTGTTCTGTTGTCTAATATTTTTATTTACTTCTTCCGATAACAGACACTTTAAAGATGAACATTTCTCCTGTGCTTTTGATTTGCATGAACTTTTCCTATCCAGTTTCCTGGTTAGACTTTGAATTCCTTTATTAAGTCTACCAATTTTCTTCTTATCATCATTTTTCTCTACCAACAAATTGTTCACTTGACACTTTTCAACATTCAAGTTCATTTCACAGTTCATTTTTTCCATTAGTTGTGTTTTACCTTTCTTTTTCTCCTTACTGTGTTTCTTTGTCATTTTGTTTACCAAGTCATTACCTCGCCGCT